TATTTACATATTTAATATTTATATTTATATTTATATGATAGAGGAAATGAGCCTGTTGAAACACCCGCAAGAAGGTGGAGATATCAACCGTCATGAGCCCACGGAAAATTTTTATTTAATGCACGATGATCACAGTGTACAAGATATGGAACACCGTCAGCAATCCAGACATTATGGGAAGTTTTTACCAATGCAAGTGCATCTGATGGTTCAATTTAATGACGGCACCACACGTGAGTGGGGACCCATCGCATCCATGAATGAAGTTGTGCAAACGCTGCGTGCGGTGATGATGGGGTCATTGGGTGACAACCGACAAAACAACGGCCCCATCCGTGTTTTTGACCAAGACAGTGTGGCTGTCAGTGTGGACGCCGATCTTCACGATGTAACTGCGCAGAAGGTACCACAAATGCACCCGCCCGTATCGTTTTTTTGGATTGACATTACGGGCTCACCCGAGCCGAAGGATCTAAACGTCCTCTTTGGCCTTTTAAAGGTGAATGCTCGCACACAGCGGAGGTGGGGAGTCGAGACGACGGGAGGACCGGCGGGGGACTCACTCCATTGCACGAATGGAAGCGTCTTTGAAGATGACTCCGATCCCTTTTGGGGGTCAAATGAAGAGAAGGGTGGGAGAGAGCCGGATGAAATGCATGTATTTGTGGAGGAGCAGTATGTACAGCTTCAACTTGCCGTCATCCGTGCTAGCAGTCCACCCTGTGCGCATGATACAACGCAGTCAATGTACGCGGCCTCCAGGAAAGGACATGCCACGCACCAGCCGGACCGTTTGCATGCCAACCTTTTTGATGTGGACGTGGAAGAAGACCTTGGCCGGGTGGAGCTGCTCTGCTTCTCGGACGGCATCGTCACATGGCGCCCGGTGCCAGAGGTGGAAGGGTGGGGGTACATTGCCCAAGCCGTGGAGCGCCGCCTTGCCGACCCCTCTTCCACAAAACGAATGCTCACAACCTCGAAGCTGCTCCACATAATTCTTGATGAACTCTGCGAAGCCTTCCTTCCAGACCCCACGTTGGTCCTCAACGAGGCGGATGCCATTGACTCCATGCTGCCGTTCGTGCGCCAACGGGAGTCGGAGCAGGTGGATGTGTTGCGTCGGTCTCTTCGTCTACAGCGACGACTCGCCGTGCATCGTCGACTCCTTTTGAGTAAAGTCAACCTCCTGGAGCAGCTCGGGCGTCCCGTCATGCGCACGTTGCTTGCATTCATCACTGCGGATTTGGGAAACACCAGTAAAGTCCTGCAGCGACCCAACGCTATTGTCGCTTCCAAACCGCTCATAAAGGCGCCGATGCACACTGATGCGAAAAGTGTGGCAGTGACAAACCTACGCGGCCTCCCTCATACCTCCATCATTCACCGCATTTTGTACCTTCTTCGGCAGCTCGATGGAGCCCATACAATTCTCAGTAACGCGACGATTGTCTACACCTCAACGGTGGCGATGCGAAACAACAACGTCAGTACGGAGGCCGACTACCGCATGGTGGTACTCCACTACGTCACTTTAATTATTCTTCCGTTGACTATTGTGGCCTCGCAGTGGGGGATGAATTGTTACGTTCCGTGGAAAGACCTCGACTCCACAACGCCATTCTGGACAATAACAGGCCTCTCCGTCTTGTACGCTGCTGCGCTCCTTTCATATCCCTTATATTATTACTTTACCGGAAGGCCAGACAAGCTTGTCTAAGCCTAAACATCTATTGATTTACGCTTATGTTATATAAGTATGTATGTATTTGTATGTATGTGTGTATGTGTAGCCGATCGCTGGAGGGGGGAACAACAGGCGGAAACACCCTCCCGCTCTGTCCACAAAACTCCTTTTTAAACCGAAAATTACACATGCCGAGGAAACTCAGAAAAAAAAAAAAAAAGGGATACGGTGGTATCTGCGGGGATATCATGCAAGACACATATGAAAGCCGAAAAGAGAAAAATTTTTCTTTTTCCCTCCTCCCCCGTTACAAAACAAATGAGGAAATAAAGGAAGTGAAAAGAGAAACGGAAAAAAATATTCCACGCCCTACCTCTCCCTCCAAGACCAGAAAGATGGCAAGAAAAAGAAAAAAAACATAACTCACGTTGGTCGCGTCCTCCCAATTCCCACCAAAATAGGCATTCATGCCGCAACGGATGGAGAGTCAAGGATGGCTTCTCATCGCCCACACATCGTTATTCCCTTTAAAAAAGAAGTGGAGGCACTAAGGGCGTCCTTTACCTGCTTCCCACGCGGCACGGTTGACAGGGCCTGGGTGGGGGAGATGAGCGAGCGGTTAAAACACACATTTTGCCGCAAACCACAAATAGTAATAAAATTTAAACTCTGGTAAAATATTATTGGAACACTTCGACCAGACACATTTCTTGCGCCACAACTTTTTTCAAAAGAAGGCATCCAGAAAAAAAAATATGAAAAAAATAAGAAAAAACGCGGTGAAGGATGAACATTTATTGCTTTTTAAGAGGGAACGCAACTCATCCTCACACGGAGCCCTATCACTTTACGGCGGCGACGTCTTCAAGCAAATTTTGAAGTGAAACAGTTTTTTTTTTTCTTTTTTTTTTTTGAAAGGGCGACGAGAGAAAAAAAAAAAAAGTGAAAGGAGGGAAAGGCTATACGAGTAAGTGACGGCGACTGTACGCTACAGACAGATGACAGACAACAAACAGCGTGATTAATGCGAATTATATTGTTTATATCTATATCTATCTATATGTATAAGTCTACACAAGACGATCTGACAGGCGGCATGGACTGTAACAATAAGTTGACACTTTTATTTACAAGCGTGGAGAGGGAGTTCGTGTTTATATGCTGCTAAATAAATGAGTGAGCGAGAAGAGAAAGAAGGCAGATTTGTTTTTTGTTTTTTACCGTAATTTGTTACTTTTTTATTATTTTAATTTCTTCAAAAAAAAAAAAAAATAACGCGTTGAAGGGCGGCGGGTGCAGTTGTTTTGCGGTGCACTTCCACCCACTCCTATTTTTGTTACCTTCCGCTCGGTGGGGATCACCGGCGGCTGTGGGGCCCTTTCAAAGAGTGCTGCCTCGTGAGCCCACAACGGTCCCGGCCGTCAGAGAGCGATGTATGGACCAATCGTTTTGCTGGTGTATGAGCGTGGGGCATGTCTTCTCTGGAGTGTGGGGGAGGTTGGGCGCACGGAACCGAACTGTGGACTTCCCCTGCTGCTCCCCTCCTCCCATTTTGGAAGGAAAAGTGGCGACAAGGCCCCGCAGAGGAACATATTATCTTTGACTCCTATATTACTTTACGGGATTCACTTCTCGTATACACCCGCATGAAAAGCACGTTTCCGCCCACTGACGACACAAGAATGCGTCACTATAAACAACCACAACAAGAGAGAGGCAAATATTTCACAATAATCCTAGGGTGACCACAACATACATCTTCCCGTGCATTCACAAAAACGAGAAAAAAAAAATATAACATTAACTCTTTGAACAACTCTTGCTCGCCGCTGCACAGCACTCACGCTCACACGCACACACACACACACTCGGGCACGTCCCCTGCGTCTCTCTGCATCACTCTTCTCCCCCTTGCACCCTGCACTCCCTAGTCCGTTTACAAGATCTTAAGCAACTCACCTTGGCGATGGCGGCTCGGTCCATGGACCACACACAGTGGCTGGCGAAGCTTGTGGCCTTTGACACGACGAGCCGCAACTCGAACCTTGAGCTCATCCACTACTGCAAGGACTACCTGGAGGGGCTTGGTGTCAAGTGCACCCTGCTACACAACGCCGAGAGGAACAAGGCAAACCTGTGGGCGACGCTGCCGGGCGACGGCGGCGTGACGAAGGGCGGCATCATTCTCTCCGGCCACACGGACGTGGTCCCGGTGGACGGGCAGAAGTGGGACAGCGATCCGTTTACGCTGACGGAGCGGGATGGGAAACTGTACGGTCGCGGCACGTCCGACATGAAGGGCTTTGTTGCCGTGTGCATGTCTCTGGCCCCCGAGCTCCTCAAGATGAAGCGCGCGAAGCCGATCCACTTTGCGTGGTCGTACGACGAGGAGGTGAGCTGTCTCGGCGGCATGGAGCTGGCGGAGTTTGCGCGGGACCACGACGTCAGGGCGGAAGGCTGCATCATTGGGGAGCCGACCGGCATGACTGTGGTGATTGCTCACAAGGGCACCTCCCACTTTTGGGTTCGTGTGCGGGGCAAGGCGGCGCATTCGTCGCTCGCGCTGACGGGTGAAAGCTGCAACGCCATTGACTACGCCACAAAACTCATTACGAAGCTGCGCGAGATTGCGGAGGAGTACCGCCGGAACGGCACCCGGCATGACTTCCAGGTGCCGTTCTCAACGCTGTCGACGAACCTCATCAGTGGCGGCAACGCCTCGAACACCGTGCCCGCGGAGTGCGAGTTCCTCTTCGAGTTTCGAGCGCTTCCCAACGAGACTGTCTCCAAGATGATGCAGCAGGTGCGGTCTTACGTGGAGACGCAGCTTCTCCCGGCCATGAAGGCGGAGTTTGAGGACGCTGAAATTGTTATCACGCCGCGGGATGAAACGCCGTCGTTTGAGGGCAGTGAGGAGGCGCCCATCACCAAGCTGGCATGCGCCATTATCAATGATTACAAGGTTTGGAAAAAAAACTATTGCACGGAGGCGGGCCACTACAGTGGGATTGCCGGCGCACCAACTGTGATATGCGGACCCCATGGCGGGGCCATACACTGTGCGAATGAGTATGTCACCCCCGCGCAGCTCGACAAGTGCCGTGAGTTTGTTCTGAGGGTGGCGGAGAGCCTCAAGGCGTCCCCTGCCCACCTGTGACAATGTTGCCACCGCCAGTGTGCTGGGGCGTTATATTTACCTGTAATAGGTTTTTTTGTTGAGCTTCTTTCTTTTCCTATTTGTTTCTTGGGTGGGTGGGTTTGGGCTATGTTTGGCGTTGAGCGTTGGTGTGGGGGACCGTCATGGCGTGTCTCAATTTCCACACCGGCAGCTGAATGCGGGGCACTGTTTAGGGATACATTCTGACAGCGGGGTATGTGGTAGGCACATCGTTCTTTTCTTTCTTCTTTGATTTATTTCTTTGAATACACCTACCTCCACGGCACTCCTGCCACCGCTGCGCAGCACTCACGCTCACACGCTCACACACACACACACACACACTCGGGCACGTCCCCTGCGTCTCTCTGCATCACTCTTCTCCCCCTTGCACCCTGCACTCCCTAGTTCGTTTACAAGATCTTAAGCAACTCACCTTGGCGATGGCGGCTCGGTCCATGGACCACACACAGTGGCTGGCGAAGCTTGTGGCCTTTGACACGACGAGCCGCAACTCGAACCTTGAGCTCATCCACTACTGCAAGGACTACCTGGAGGGGCTTGGTGTCAAGTGCACCCTGCTACACAACGCCGAGAGGAACAAGGCAAACCTGTGGGCGACGCTGCCGGGCGACGGCGGCGTGACGAAGGGCGGCATCATTCTCTCCGGCCACACGGACGTGGTCCCGGTGGACGGGCAGAAGTGGGACAGCGATCCGTTTACGCTGACGGAGCGGGATGGGAAACTGTACGGTCGCGGCACGTCCGACATGAAGGGCTTTGTTGCCGTGTGCATGTCTCTGGCCCCCGAGCTCCTCAAGATGAAGCGCGCGAAGCCGATCCACTTTGCGTGGTCGTACGACGAGGAGGTGAGCTGTCTCGGCGGCATGGAGCTGGCGGAGTTTGCGCGGGACCACGACGTCAGGGCGGAAGGCTGCATCATTGGGGAGCCGACCGGCATGACTGTGGTGATTGCTCACAAGGGCACCTCCCACTTTTGGGTTCGTGTGCGGGGCAAGGCGGCGCATTCGTCGCTCGCGCTGACGGGTGAAAGCTGCAACGCCATTGACTACGCCACAAAACTCATTACGAAGCTGCGCGAGATTGCGGAGGAGTACCGCCGGAACGGCACCCGGCATGACTTCCAGGTGCCGTTCTCAACGCTGTCGACGAACCTCATCAGTGGCGGCAACGCCTCGAACACCGTGCCCGCGGAGTGCGAGTTCCTCTTCGAGTTTCGAGCGCTTCCCAACGAGACTGTCTCCAAGATGATGCAGCAGGTGCGGTCTTACGTGGAGACGCAGCTTCTCCCGGCCATGAAGGCGGAGTTTGAGGACGCTGAAATTGTTATCACGCCGCGGGATGAAACGCCGTCGTTTGAGGGC